ACTACCTATAGAAGCTTATTTTACTCTATTTTGGCATGAAATTTAAAGAAGATATTCGGCGCGCGTTTTGAGAAAGGTTTGAAAATATCCGGAGGACTTCATGTAAAGTATCCACAAATTTTGAAGAAAGTTTTTCAAAATCGCAGGGTCTTGAGACGAGGGACATCGACCGGGGAATATCATTTTGGAAATAATCCTACGCAGGCATTAGTGGTGCTCACATTTCACAGACGGACAGACGGACGGATAGGGAGACGGAAGAACGGGCGGACGTTTTCAAAAAACCACTTTTTCGGCGTCAGGGTATCTCAAAACGTGTGTTTTCGTTGTAATCTGAATCGGATTTTCCGCGAGCTTCACATAATATTCCATGTACTGAGTATGTTAGCTCGTATAGAATACATCGTATAGTATATAATATATTATATTATTATATATAATATATATAGAGTATATAGTATAATATATTAATAGGGCAAGTATATACGAGATACTTTTGAAGTTATGGCATGATAGTGTATACAGTAGCGTCTTGGGGGTTGCATCTGCACAGTATATCTGCATATTTGTTTTATTTAATGTATTTGTAACATGTATTAAATATAAATTTTAGCTTTATGCACTCCTCCATATAAACCAAATCTCACACTCTTCCGTGAACCCAATATGCTTAGAACGGGATAGAGTGTTGTCTTCTTCTTTACGCTCTCCGTACATTTAATATAATTGTTAGCGCAACTACAAATGCGCCCCATGAGATCGTGAAACTATACATTTGTTGTCCCTTGTAATAAAAAAATGATTGTAGAGCACACTTGTTAGATAGCGTCAAGGAACTTCCATGATAATATATTTATATATTTGTACTTCTGTTCGGAGAATTGAATAAAATAATTACTCATCATAAGTATTTCTTACTTTTTTCAAGCATTAGGTATTTGGCCCGTTGAATGCTCTTTTTCAATCTTGGCCGACCGACCGACATCGCGTTTCTCCCACATTTCTATTTTCAAATGATCACATTTGTTGCATATCAGCTGCCCACGTTTTTCCTGTTCGGCTAAATTTTCATTTAGGTCATACACGTGGGAGTTTATTTCTTCGTATCAGATAGAGCATCTTCGTGTTACACTTGCTACAGATCTAAGAAATCTCATTTGAACTGATTGTACTATTATTTTTCAGCGACAGCGACTGAATTCAACCCAGCTGTCTAAAATCCTGCCACCGTCGGGACTCGAACTCTGGGACCCTTCGGCCAGAGGCACAGCAGTGACATCAGTAGATGCCCTGAGTCTCTTTTGCCGGTACCTTTACGCCGTAAGCCATGCTACCGAAGGCAGATCGCTGCTCGCCGCTCGCCGGGTGGCTTTCCACTTCTCAGAAGCAGTGGGCGAGGCAAAGCCTTCCTACCTTTCCCCTGCGCACTCTCAAGGGACACCCCGTGTTGTGGTCTGATGCTTTCACAAAATGCAGTGCTCCAGGCTCGTTTAGCGGGGCCGGCGCTTCTTCATCAGCGAAAGTCATATTTTTGATGATTGATTGATCGTTAGTGGTTCCGGGCGCTTCAACTGCTATTAGTCCCGTAAGTGCAGGATGTTTTTATCGCGGAAAGTGGCGATGAACTTCCCACGCCGTTTGGCGAGATCCGGCGCCGACTGAGTGAGGCTTTCTCCAACCGGGGCAATCTCCCACCAGCAGTGCACCGCCTCAGCGGGGACGAGCTCTGAGCTTTGTGGTAGTGTAGGGCATGTTAGTGTGTGTGAGGGGTAGGATAGGACAAGGCGTCGAAAATCCTCTCGGTCACAGGAACTGCATTGACATTAGTTGATCCCTTCTCCCGGCGAAAGACAAATTATGAAAATTCGGAAGACTTATTGCGGCAATTCACAGTACAGTGAATACAGGTTTGATGTTTTTTATTAGATTTGATTTATTTCTGTCAAAGAAAAGTAACTAGTAGTGCTACAGAATTGCACAGACATTCCTGTATTAGTTTTCTATTACCTTTGGTCCCGGTTAGCTATTCGAACTTGCCACATATTCTAGTCTGCTGCCATCTATCGTCACCTGAAGTTTTTTTACCTTTTAATTTATTTTTCGGTTTCCTTACTGAAGAGAGGAAATATCATTGTAAGATTAGTGAAGAACAGTAAAATCTCGTGCTAATTAGCTATTTTCTTTGAAAAATTTGGAGCCGTTTTTAAAAAAACGGCGTTTAAGCACTACTGTTAATACGAAATTTGTAATACGAAGCTTTTTTCACAAAAACTTTTGAGTTTTACAAAAACTTAATTTGTAGTCATTTTAAGTACATTAACTCACAAGTACAATAGTGTTTACAATTTGCTAGAAATGTGCATATTAACGACGTGAGAGATCTTAAAAAATGTACATTTGGGTAATTTTTGAAAATACAAAAATATACACCTAAATTAACTTTACTTCATATTAAAGAGTGCAATTACCACTACCAGTTCGAAATGTTTGAAGAAAAACTTTGGAGCTGTTTTTGAAAAAATGGCGTGTGAGCGTTTCTGAAAATGCGGAGTTTTGAGCTATTTTTCACAGAAAACGGTAGAGTTGTCGAGAATCTTTATAGAGCAATCTTTAAAGCACATGTACTCCTAAATATAATATTGTGAACAAATTGCCACTAATATAAATATTAACGACATGAGAGGCAAATAAAAAAATATTTAAAAAAAATTAAAGCAATAAGGCGTTTATGTCATCTTATAGAGTACAATTCGCACAATCCGTACCAAACGTTTAAAGAAAAAGTTCGGAGCCATTTATGAAAAAAACTTATTTTGTAATTTTTTTAAAATTGCACATATTGCACGCAATATTGTGCGAAAACCACTTATATTTTCAAAAAATGTACAGGACCGTAATGAAAGAACTCACATGGAGAACAAATTTAATCAGAAGGAAAAATCTCTATTTTGTATTTTGTAGTTGTTGGAAGACGCCCGAAAAATGTTGAAAATTTGAAATATTCGAAAATTTAGGGTTAACTTGAAAATCGAACCTATTCAATCTTTATAAGTGTAATGACATGAAATTTAAAGTAAAGATTGGAACCGTTTTTGAGAAAATTTTGAAAATGATCGGGAGGCTTCATATATAGTACCACCAAATATAACTCCGTATATACGTACGTATACGGGAAAATAGAAAAGTTATGGTATAGGGGTGAAGTAGAATCTGCGCACTCTCCAGAATATCTTCCCAGCCCGTTCAGCATAATTACTTGAATGATGAATAAAAGTACCAACAAAGCGAAGTTCGCAACATTTGAAAAATAGACATTTTCTCTTCCAATTTATAGAAAACGTTTGTGAATCGCTAAACTATAGATTTGAGGTTTTAGTACTGCTAACAAATTGGTAACCCCTACCCCCGGCTTTGCTCCCACCACAAAAAGCAAAAGGGGAATTCAACAAAACGTAAGTATAATAAAACTAAATTTATGTTTAGAAGCCAAACAAGGGAGCATCTCCGCATTTGCTCAATGTATTAGGGAAAATAAAGATGAAGCATCATGTAAAGTATTTTCAAAAATAATAGTTTCCTTTTTAGACTCAGAGGGCCTCGAGTTCATGTACATCGATAGAGAATATAAATTTTGGAGAATACCGGCTAAATGGTTTAAGCCTAGCATTTAATTCTAGCATTAACTGAAGATGGACGTTTTGTCGGCAAATATGTTTAGATATCAAGGACCCAAAAAACATGGATTCTGAGTTCACAACGTGTTAGAGGAAGTAATTTGTCATATTTAAGAACAACTTTTATCCCCTTTTTAGTTACCACGTTAGTTAGCCCGGCAATAATAGTTTTTCTGTCAATTCACGATTACAATACTGTATCTTCTTATGAGGTAAATGCCAAAAAGAAGAAATATGTGCAAGTTAATTGTCAAGAAAGAATGACGATACGAATACAGAACAAAATACATACTGAGAATGATCGAAAATTTCAAAGGCTGTCGTGTGAGTAGACATTGAGAATAAGAAAATGAACGTCTATATTCCTCACAATTCTTTGGTTAGAAAGACGAGATATTTTGAAATTGAATTTGCCCCTTTATCATAATTTTATCACGTGAATGATTTTTATATATTGTGCGGTCTGTCGTGTACTTAAAATACTGCGCAATTTTCCAAAAAAATGTGTCAGTGAAATATAAAACTGGGTTGTAACACAAGAACGTAATACTGTAACGTCACTTATGGTAGCGTAAAAATGAGAACTATTTTGCATGGCAAAGTGATCGAATGGAATTTTTACAAAAAAAGCTTTTTCACTAGAAAATATACAATGATAACATTTCATTGTGATAGGTAATTGCTGCGTATTTATAAACTTTTGTAAACTCTGACGCACGCCCCTTGTTCTGAAACAGTGTTTGTCATCTGACACGGCGAACAACGATAAAGAGGAGGAATGACACATTTCGATTTGCGCTTTAATTCTAACATGAATAAGCAAAAGATTATTTCATCTAAACAACGAGTAATGGTTAGCGAGTAAAAACAAACGCAAAACGAACCAATGAATTTGCAAGCTAAAAAAAGACTCCATCGGTCTTACGTCATATTACTTCTCAATCGCAGGGCTGCCTTTTCCTACCAGGTTTGTCAGCAGTCGTGTCGGCGCAGTTGCCCCCGCCGGTCCCTCGTCGCCGGACGCTGGTCGGCGCTGCCTCAGTGCTGCCACCGTCCCCACCGTGGACGCCACGGCCGCTCGGTTCGCGTGCTCGGGCTCGCCCTGCCGCAGTCGCTCAGGCTGTGAGCGCGTTGCCGCCGCCAGCCCTGCCGTCGTCCTGGGCTGCGTCTCCGCTCGCGACCCGCAAGGTACGTCATCGCCGCCTACAGCTTAAGTGGTTGCTGGGAGCCGGCTCGTATCCCGTCGCCGTCGTTGCCAGAACCGTCGCCGCCGTTTGCAGTGGTAGTCGCCTACTTCGTGCGGTGCTGCCGTCGCCGTGAGCTACCATGGGGTCCGTCAACATCAACTGCAACGTCAGCGATGATTTCTACCGCTACAAGATGCCCCGTCTCATCGCAAAGGTCGAGGGAAAGGGTAACGGCATCAAGACTGTGATCGCCAACATGACAGACGTGGCCAAAGCCATCAGCCGACCTGCCACCTACCCAATTAAATACTTCGGATGCGAGTTGGGTGCCCAAACACAGTTGGACTTCAAAAACGACCGCTTCATTGTGAACGGCTCTCATGATGCTGAGAAACTCCAGGGACTTCTTCATGAATTCATCCAGAAATTCGTGCTGTGTCCTAGCTGTGAAAACCCGGAGACTGTGCTCTCCGTGAACAAGAAGAAACAAGCCATTATCCAAGCATGCCAAGCTTGTGGTTACAATAGCCCTCTGAAGTTCAACCACAAACTCAACCCGTTCATCATCAAGAATCCACCAAAGATTACCACTTCTATCCATGGCGGTGGGAAGAGTGACAATCGAGGCACTGGAAGAAAGAGAAGCAAGCAAGAAAATAATACCAAACCAGAGACAAGTGGAGAAACACGCAACTTTCGCAAGATTAACAAGAAAGTCAAGGAATGCGCAGATATCAACAAAGAAAGGCGGGGTGGGTCTGCAAATTATCGTCTTTCTGAGACGGATGATGACGACGAGGTATGGTCGGTTGATGTGAGTGAAGCTGCTGTGCGTGCCAGACTGCAAGACCTTAGTGAAAGTGCCAAGGGCTTGGTGATCACCGATCACCTTAAGAAGTTGGAGAAAGAAAATCTCGATGTCATCTACGAGATGGTAAAGCATAAGCGTGATGCTGGTGTCATTGACTCGGCTGACAAGGAAATCCTCGCTGAGGCTAAACGTCTTGCAGTGAAATCGAAGGTTCCTCTCATCCTAGCGGAACTTCTCTTTGATCACAATATGCATCAGCAGGTGAAGAAGCACCGTATTTTGTTTCTACGCTTCACACATAAAGATCAAAAGGCGCAAAAATTTCTGCTCGGAGGTATTGAGCAAGTGATTGCATTGCATAAGGACGCATTGTTACCTAAGGTATCGGGCATTCTGAAGCTTTTCTACGATGCAGATATCCTGGAGGAAAAGGTCCTGCTAGACTGGGCTGCAAAGGTGACCCATAAGAACGTACCCAAAGAGCTGGCGCAAGATATTCACGCACGGGCCAAAACCTTCATCACGTGGTTGCGTGAAGCGGAAGAAGAGAGTGACGGGAGTGAGGAAGAAGACTGCAACCGTGGGAGCGAGAATGTTGACCGTGCTAATGGAAAACCGTTGAATGAACTGAAGAACCTGCCTACCATGAAGCCAGCCGAAGACCTAGACATTGATGCAATCTAAATAACACGGAGTCGCGTATCTGAGTGTTGAGATGAAGTGAATGCGCTGGTCAAAGGGTCACAGTTCTTGCCAGAACCCCTATTTGTTCAGTTCCTTTTCAAATAATTGTTTGAATTAACAGTTCATAACTTTTGTTCCCTTTTTTAGTACTTAGTTTCGGATAAGTATATTTTTCACAGGTTTGTATGTATGTAGACAAAAAAGTTAATGAATGTGGTTTATCAGCACAAAACAATGCTATTAATAAAAAAATGTTAAAACAGTACAGAAGTGATGAAACAGTTGATTGAATTTAACCAGTGAACAAAGTTTCCAGGTACTTCCTTTGTTCTACCTGTTACAAGCTAAGGTAAAATGTGCTGAGTTCAAATTACATTACTAGATGAGGTTACATTTTCTGTGCATTTCACTAACGGTTTTCTTACACCTGATGCATATCTTGTTTAATTTTTTAAAACATCCGATATCCAATCCTGAATTGCCAGTGTTCTGGTGGCAACTAAGAACAATAGCAGATGCAAGACTCATATTTAATTTTTGTGTCAGTGATATACCCAATGGTAGTGTAGAGAAGATCAAGTGGTGCTCTTGTGGTGTTCATTTGTTTGGAAAACGACGTAGAATTAACACAATCCTGTGATTATTTCTCAACACTTATTCATTTCCCATCCTGAAGAGATTATTCTAATTTTTAGCCGCAAAAATAACAATTTGGCCAAACCAAAATAAGGAGAAATTTGATATCTTCCAGAACTTTCTTGTGCTTTTATATTTATAAACAATTTCTAAAAATGTGGATTATGTTAGAAAGAAAGTCTAGTTTTCAGAGTAGCATATTAAAATGAATAGATTGTATGAAAGTTCCAATTAAATGTTCATGCAGTATGGATAATGATATTGTCTGTGTAAATTGTCTTTACGCTAAATCTATTTTTGTACTTGTCCGAAATTAAATAAAAACTCTTAGAACATTAGTGAATAACAAATATATCAGTCATATAATCGACAACTTTCCATTTACCTCTAACAGCGGAAGCAAACACCAACAATGAAACGTATTGACTAGAAACTTTTTAATTATGCGATCACTGTGTTTATAACTTGAAAACCATTATTCTCCTACGTGAATATACAGTTGTCATACGTATACTTTGTGGGTATTTGGGTGAAGCAGATGACTAGTGATTAGCACATTGTTCTATCCCAGCCTGTTATTCGTTCTTGTTATGAAGAAATATTTCATTATCATTAGTTTCACACGATTGATTCGACTCCAATAAGAGTTATTCTCAGAAGTAGACAGATGATAATTGAAAAAAAATTCATTTTAGGGTTAATGTTTAATTCTTTGACAGTTGTTATTGGACTTTTAAGGTACTCTTCCATTTAAATTTAGCTTTTTGAATTTATGACAATTTTTTTAGGTATTAATCTCCTTATAGTATACAGATAGACATCTAATGATGAATTATAAATTTCAATTCGAAATGTTGTGAATGTTGCTAAAATGTGCTAGTGTTTGGAATAAAGAAAATATGAAAGTTTCAATAACAATACGTGTAATAATTGTTTATGCCTCCAATGAATGGAGTCTTTTAGTTGATGAAAAATATTTTCAGTTTTTGACGTGTGGCAACAGTATATTTATTTTGAAAATTGTATGTACTTGCGGTCATTTTTGCGGGGATACAGATGACCATAACCTTCTCTTTGAAGTAATAGTTCTGTATTCACCGAACTTCAACTGCTAAGGTTTCAAGACCCGTAAGTGTAGAAATGTTTTTTTTTTCGTGGGAAGTGACGATGATCTCTCGCTGGATGGCGAGATCCGATGACGACCTACCTGTTAGCTTGCTGCTTTTCCCGCGAACCAGGTATCTCCCCTCCCGCAGGGCACAGCCCCAGTCGTGACAAGCTCTAATTCTCAACATGTGTAGTAGTGTAGTGCATGTAAGTGTATGTACAAGGAAGAGGAAAGAAAGATCGCGCGCGGTCCGTGGCGCATTTATTAGATTACTGCTCCGGCATTCGCCTGATGTTGATTGGAGAAACCACGGAAAAATACTAATCAGAACAGCCAGCCGTTGAAATTCACTTTCAGACAATGACTGAATTGGACATAGCTATACAGTTAGTGTCGAAAATCCTGCCACAGTCGATATGCGAACCTTAGGAGCTTTCTGGCTGGAGCCACTGCAGTGACAACAATTGATGCCTTAAGCCTCCTAGGCGGTCCAAATATAGAACCGTTCTCTACATTGTCGGATACTAAAGCCCGTTTGCAGAGTGCTTCCCGGCTGGTCTGGCCTCAGAGGAATGCAGGGGTTTCCACGAAGCGATGACGCACGGCGACGGTTTCGGATTTCTCGGCAAAAACCCGATACCATTGAAAGACACCTTATTTTACGTGGCGAGACTCAAGCCATAAGGCCTGCTCTTCCCTCTGACCAGGCAAATTTCGCTAAGATCCTCTCGCCAACTAGCGGATAAAAGTGATATTTCTTGGGTGGCGATACAGTCTATTAAATTTAGCTCACAGGCTTCCTTTTGGCTTCAGGATCTTTAACATGCAGTAATCTACTAAAATAGGACAGCTGGTTTGACTTCCCCTCCGAAAGAAGGCGTATGAAGGATTTTTTCCGCCTGAAAATCCACGGCTTCGATCGGGATTAAACCAGCGAACCTGGGTATGTCCGATACGCTAACCGTTACACCATCGCCGCCGCCGTACTTTGGGTTAAGAAAAAAATAAACAGGGGAAGGTGGCTCAGGACATCAACTGATGTCACTGCAGTGCCTCGGACAGTGGGTTTGAGTCCCGACACTGGCAGTATTTTCGACACGTGCTTGTCATATAGGTCGGATTCACCCGCTGTCTGGGGAAGAATTCTAGCGGCCAGCTGCTCTGATTGGTAGTTTTCCGTGGTTTCCCCGATAAACAACGAAAACAATGACTGCTGGAGCAGTACCCTAACAAACGGGCCACGGGCAGCTCGCGATCTTTCCTTCCTCTTCCTTGTCTTTTACTCATCTGTTACTAACTTATGCTTATACTAACACGCACCAATCTTCGACACATGCCGGGAGACTGGTCGAAAGCTTGTAGCTTATCCTGGCTGGGCCGATAACTCGCTGGTGGGAGACACCTAAGTGAGGAAAAACCCGCAAGCAGGGAGTTATGCGCCGGACCTCGCCATCCAGTGGGGAAAGATCATCGCCACCTCCCGAGCAAAACATTCACTACACTTACGGATGTAATGACCTGGCAGTTGTCGCACCTGGAATCACTGACAATTCTTCAACGTCACTGCCAATATAAGACCGCAATTAATTTGATATTTTTATAAGATATCTTCACGAATACTGCAATAACATAGTATAGTACAAATGTTTGGACAGTACTACAGTTCCTTTCATAGGAAGAATGTCAAGTCGCTTTCCGTAACTCAAGCCGTGAATTTCAAATACTTAATGGCAGGAGGCCTCATCCTGGGAACCATGTTTTCGCATGACGTGAGCTGTGTCGTAAACAGTTTCGCAATGAATATGAAAATTAAGTCGGTACGCTCAGTATGAGAATAGGGAATAACTCAATCAAATACTTGCATTTTATGTTAAAATATACGCAGTTTAAAGTTTGTTGATTTTTCATATCTACTAACGACCCATACATACCTTTCGCCTGTCTGGACGCTTCATAGTTACCCGTCAATTTAGACATGAATTGGCAAGCAGAAAAATACATATCAAATGCATTTCAAATTCACGAGAGAACGTAATTCGTGTGAAGTAAGAATATGTAATTGTTACCAGGTATTGTTACCACGGTACAACAAAATTTTGTACCGTGAAACAGGTGTAACAATGGCCCTCTTCTTACGGCGAATTGCTCACCGCTAGTGTGGGTGGGCGCGTTCTTCAGAAGAATATATGACGCCAGCAAGGGAGAAAAATAAACATTCTTCAATGGGTAAGGAACAAATACACTCAATGAAAATTAGGTCAGAAAGAATTCACTAGTTGACATACGCAAGAGGTTTCTGAGTACAAAACGTTATAGCTGAAATACAAGAATCAATGTTATTCTCATTTCAAATGAAACAAATAGGTTAAACACTTCTCATTTCAAATGAGATGAATATCATACAGATTGTTTTATCAGTGATTTGTCGTTGGCATTCAAAATAAAATAATTACTCGTTTTCGGACTTTCAAACTGCAGGAAACTGACGATGATGGCTAAGCCATCAAAAACTGCCATTTCAATAAACAATATTGTTGACAAGTAACGTTTCTAATTCTCGCAAAGATTACTCATCTCAGAGGCGGAGTTGAATATTTTCCCGTGAATACTGAAATATGACGTCAATGCACAATGCAAATTGTTATCAAATTATATTGATAACAATTCGCATTGTGCATTGACGTCATATTTCAGTATTTCCGATTACCTTGAACACAGATCCAAAGTCTCCAATCACCAAGAAAGAAGGTAAGTGGTTCACCAGAAATATTTTTATGCACTCCTACAACCAAAAATAAATTGGGTCGGTAAATAGTTGTGCTCTCGTTCTTGTAGATTAATTCCAGCGTTCTATCTGCAGGAAATAGTTCCCTTTAGAAAAAAAGAAAGGAACGTTTGGGTGTCTAGTTTACGGATCCATTTAATGTTATATCACACCTGGTTGCTAAATCATCATCAACTTCATCAACTTCTGCAATGAATCATCTCTCTTCGTTTTTGGTGCAATTTAATTTCATTGTTATTTCGTATCCAAAATTCATTCTAAATAATTTGACATCATTTCATCGCACAAAAAATTGCACCGTTTTAGACTTATTTACAGGCAAATCTTTCATTTTCCCTTTGCGTACTGTGATTTTAGCTTGTTACTATATAATGCTCTCTTTATTATCTAATATATTTCTTATACATTTACAAATAAACCATTGATTACAAACTTACGACTTCTTGTTTGATTTTGATTTATTTCTCGTCA